ATTACCCGAGCTCCAGAGAGAGGATCTGGTGAGCTTACATACACCAATTTTGGAGTATTTGTTGGATTAAGACGGCCAAAATGCTGCCTATGGATATGTTGATGACATTAACAGCATCATTGTTCAGCTGCAAGCAGAAAGCCAAAAATCATGACACTGAAAGATATCATGTTTCAGCCTTATGAATTGAAGAGCAAATAAAAGATATTTAGATAATAGATATTAAAAGGATTATTTATAACTAGCCCAGTACATGGACAATTGCACTACATTTTAATCCAATGAAAATTAAAATTCAAGCTAACGTTTGGCAGGCAGTTCAATAACAGGTTGATCTCTCTCAATTTCTTCTTTGACCTTCTCTTATCCCCAAAGTGTGGGTACATACTTCTTCCTCACTACTAGCTTTATGTTGTGTGGCCTAACCCAAATAGACTTGAGATGCCACGTAAAACTATACAATCATATCCAAATCAAACCCCGTTCATTGCACAACAGTTCAAACCAGAAGATACACAGGCAGTAGATTAAAAATAAAAACAAAAAGAGAAAACAGGTTGATAGACACCATCCTATTATTCAAATGATTTCTTACCCATCGAAATCCTTCCTTCCCTTGGAATGCAGCACCAATTATGCTCTCACCAAGATTAGCAATTTGGGAAGCTACTACGCATATCACCACCTCAGGTACATTTATCTACTTGCAAAGATTAAAGAAGATGAAAAGAAAAGGAATAAAGAGAAGAAGCTTAGTAGAACTTTATAAATTCAAATGGCCATCTTTAATTTATACATTTTCTGGATGCAATTTATCATCACTCAATCTGATAAGTTTATTAAGGTTGTGGCATCAATGATATTATTAAATAGCATAATCTCAGGGTGCATATAAGCATTTGGAAAACCCTTGCTAAAGATTACCAAAGCTAGGGAATGACAATCTGATCAACTCACACCCAAAGAATCACTAACGTTAAAAGTCAGTTTCAAAATACTTCGATCTCATTCTTAGCTTCTTGGAAATAATATAACCTCTAAAAAATAATAGCCTATTTTCCAAATTATAATACCTGAACTATATTAATTGAAACTTAAGTTCCCAGCAAAATAATGTTTACAAAAGAACCAAGTACACACCTAACTACTGAAATGTCAAATTCAATTTAAAAAAAGATCAGGATCTGCTATTTTTCTTAAGAATGCCCTTAGAAAAATAGCTTAGAAAAATAGCTTTAACCATCTTAAATACCCATTCAACCAATTTTGTGTGCAAAACTAGTCCAGCCTGGCACTAGCCCACCAGCATTGCTTTCTTGACATGTTGCTACCCAACTAATCTATTGTTGTAGAAAAGAAATATATTCCAGGTTCTTCTGAGGTAAAAACATCTTTTAAGGATCATTCAATAATGCTCATAATGAATGCAGGTCTTATGCCAAAGAAGTGAAAATATTAAACAAAAAGGCATCCCTGAATAACAGAACAAAATATCTACATGGTATAAGTAAAATAGCAATTACTACCTCACCCAAGAGACAACCAATTAAGGCAAGAAGTATTGATGCTAAAAGTCCAGCAAAGGTTCCTTCAACACTGACAGCCCCTTCCGTTCCCCTAGGAACAATCTTAAAGTTTGTGACTAGGTACCTGCTCATTTTTGCACATCACAAATCTAAATTTGCAATCATGAAAGATTGGTTTAACCAAAAAAAAAAAAAAACTAGTAAATAGCAATGAATATAAACATTAAAAAAAAGAAAAAGAAGCCATCAAAGCTTGACACTCTACAAATTTTGTTTCTACATAAAATGTCAGAGAGGCCATTACAAACAGCATAAATGACAATGACATTAACAGCACTCAAATTTAGCAAGAACCACGAGGGATCTGCATGCCACTTGTTTCAAAATAGCCTTTAGAGTGAATAACAGAGAAGTATTAATAAATAATTTCAAGTGCCTAAACCTTAACAAATGGAGATGCATTACTTACGTTGTTTTGCCATATGCTTTCCCAATCTCACTTGAGACCGTATCACTCAACTTAGTACAGAAACTAGCAACAAAACCAAGTTGCCAAAGCCGAGTAAATGCCTCTCCGCCAACTCCATATATAGTGAGAAAAGAACATACACAACCAGCAGCACTTGACCCAATTACACTCCCAGGTCCCCTTCTTCCTTTCCTCTTCTCAGCAACCCCTTGAGCTTCTTTTTGAGCCATTTTCACTTTTGTAACTGCAGTGCCCTAACAAACATAAATGTTTCAACTGTCAAACAGAAGAGTTGAAAATCACAATCACTTACAAAAATCATCGTCTAATAAAAAGGCCTTAGCAATTTATTTCTAGAAAGTGTAATTGCTCAAGAAGGGAGATTTTTTCTCCCTGAAGCAAGGGGGAATAAATTATTACATATAATTATACCAAAAGTTGAGCATAATAATTAGAACAATTGAGCATGGTTTTACCAAATTTGTTTTCCAGGCATGACATAGAGCTGTAAGATTGTATGGAGATTTAGAGAAATGTAAAGTATTATGGAAACTCAGGTCCTCAAAAGCTCAGCACCTTATAATCAAGCATCTTCTGAAGTTTTGTGCTAGGTTTTGTTTTCTTTTCTTTTATAAGTTCTACTTCATGCAAAGGAATTCAGGTTTTTTTCCTCCAACTTTAATGCCACTTCCATCCCAAACTATCTCTCCGTTCAAAGTAGAAACCCGAAAGTCACACATTACCGTTTGTTATATCAAGTATTTTGTAATATAGTTTTCAAGCATGGTTATACGGGTAGGGTAAATGAGAAGAGGGAAGGAGGAACTAGTTCAAGATTCATTTTGCAAGTAAAACAAGCGATAATCAGAAAGGAAAGCAGGGGAAAAACCATACTATATCATTTCAAACAAGTCTAAAATTGCGAGAACCCATAAACTCTCTTTGACTCCTCCACCTGCCCCCGATCAAAAGGAAAACAAATGAAAATAAAGAAATTTTGGAACAATATTTTGGTTACAGTTTTGACCTTATTTCACATAGTGCAATCCAATTCTTTAAATAAAACAAATCACACTTAAATAACTAACTACTTCACATGAAATCCTTTTGACATAAACAAAATTTCCTTTCCTTTGCCATATTACCAAACAATGAAAGTTGTGCTCCAAAGCATAAACTTTATACCAAATAGGAACAAAAATCAGAACCCCATTTCCAATTTCAACTTAAATCCCATAAGTCAAATAAAATTCATAGACTTTTTAATGACTCACAATAACGAAGTAAGAAGCAACGAGGAGGAACCCAGAAGACCCAAAAGCGCGCCAAGTGAGAGTGCCAAGCAAGAAGGCAGCGCAAATTCCGGAGAGAGATAGCCCCGCTACTAAAAGTGGGGTTCCGACGACGAAGATCACGAGGTTGCTGAGGAAGGCCGATTGCCACGTGGGCGGCGAGGATTGGATGATGGCCATGGCTCTTGATACTGCCCCGTGGCCTGGAAACGCGTTGGGTCTGTGAAGGAATTGCATTTTGGGGGGTTTGGAATTGGGAATTATAGGGTTAGGGTTCAGGAAGATTGGGGATTTTTGGGGGAGGTAATGTGGAAATTGGTGAGAAGAAACCGGAGGGAATTTGAAGTGAAGGTGAAGCAGAGTCGTTGACCATGCCATTCCTATGAGCTGTTTCTAAGTAAAGAAGAAGCATTGACTGACAAAAAGGTACTTGTGTGTCTTAAAATTTTCACTTAAAAAATAATCATTTACTCATTTAGTTATTAAATAAAATTATTTAATTATAATTTGGATTTTTTGGAGTTGTAAATATAAGTTTTTCTAAGTTTTGGATCAATTAAATCTTGATTTTTGGATTATTATGAGCTCAATTCGTTTTAGATTCGAGCCATGTTGAACTTGAATCGTGTCAGATTAATATCATTTTAAATTCACGTATTGTAAATTAAAATTTTTAATTTTTATCATTTAATTTGAATTAATACTATAAAAAATTAAATTTTAATCACATTACATTCAGTTATATATATTTTTTATATAATAAAATTTTAAAAAATATAGTTATTTAAACTTTTAATTTCACTTTTTTCATATTTAATAGTAATAAAAGTGTAACTTTTACTAGTGTAAGTAATTTTTATCGTTATATTTTATTTATAATACATCTAAAAATTTATATAATTAAGTTAAATTTATAAAAATATTCTTAAAATAAAAAAAAGTGTTATTAAAATATTTTTAGTAACATATTTTAAAAATATATTATTTTAAGTCAAATTTGTCGAATCATTTTCAATAAATTTATGAATTGGATAAAATTTGACTTTTTTAATTAAGAGAGAAAACTCAAATAATTTATAATTTTTAAATAAAAAATTATAATTCCAAACATGGTTGAGAAATATTTTTATTTTTTTTTAAAAAATAAGTTAATTATTTGCAATAATATAATGATTGTATAAGTTAAAATAACACCTTCGCACGCTCGAAACTCTAACTCAGTATCCTTCTTTTCCTTGCTATACTTTCTTCATCACCGTTCTTTATTGTTTTTGTTTTTTTTTTTGGAAGAGAGAAGATTATGCCTCAAGCTTAAGGTTTCTACTAAAAAAATTATAAAAGTAGTATAATGAAGTAGTGAAACATTGCTTAACATACAATATTAAATATTACTTATAATACAACACTAAATGATTTGGTTGACATTTCAAGAGAAAGCAGGCTTGGGAGGCATTTCAAGGAGCTCGACTACCCTTTCAAGCATCTCCAAGACTTTGCTCATTGAAGGACGGTCTGTGGGCTTCATCTGTATGCACCAAAACGCTACTATTACCATTTTCCTCATAATTTTGTTTTCATTTTCCGTTACATCTCCAAGCTCCATGATTTCTCCTTCTTCAAGTCGTTCATAAATCCATGATGGAAAATAAATTTGACTCGAATGTTCAGCAGAGACATTCACATTTTTTCTCCTTCCCACAATTTCCATTAGCATCATTCCAAAACTATAAACATCGGCTTTATATGAGATGCTTCCAATATTTTTATAAAACAATTCAGGAGCCATATATCCTAATGTACCTCTTGCAGCTGTGAGAGGGACAATACTGTCATCCACTGAATACAACTTTGCAAGGCCAAAATCTGAAATTTTCGGGATAAAGTTCTCATCTAGAAGAATGTTATGTGGCTTGATATCGAAATGTAAAATTTGCATTTCACAACCTCTATGTAAATAATCAATACCTTGAGCTACTCCCAATGCAATCTCAAACATTTTTTGCCAACTCAAAGTGTTACTTTCAGTTGAAAATATTATTTTATCTAAGGACCCATTTTGCATGAAGTCATATACAAGAGCTTGTTTTGATCCCTTCACGCAAAATCCAACAAGTCTTACCACATTAACATGGTGAATTCTTCCGATAGTTGCAACTTCATTGATGAAATCTTGACCATTGGTTTTTGATTTGTTTAATAATTTTATCGCAACAAGTTGACCACTTCGAAGTTTTCCTTTAAACACAGAGCCATATCCTCCTTGTCCTAGTTTATTCTTGAAACCTTCTGTCATTCTTTTTATTTCAGAATAAGAATATCTTATAGGCATTAAATTGTTTTGGCTCTGAAGAAAATTCTCAATCATGTCATCCATTGACAAATGCCTCCTTTTTAATTTGCGTAAAACCAATATAATCAAGCAAATTATCCCCAAAAGTGTTCTTAGCAATATAATTCCTGTTTCACAAAAATAAATAAATTACATAACAATATATAAATTAATTAGTTGGACAACATGATTATATGTTATGCATATGTCATTTACTAATTTAACTTGGGTATGTGCTGCCGTATTTTCCCCAACAAAGTTCATAACATAATTTGGGATAAAATTTAAATTTACACACACTAGTTTATTTAAGGTGATGGATCAAATTTATTATTTTATTTTTAAACAAGTGCAATTTTTACCATTATACATTTTAATTTACTTCAAAAATGGTCAAAAATTAACATTAGTTTTAACTTTTGATCATATTTTTAACTAATTTAAAACTGTAGCGGCAAAATTACACTCGTTCAAAGGTGGTGATAAGTTTGATCCATTACTCAAAATAGACTGATAAATTTAGACCTTATTCCATGTAATTTTTATCTTGACCAAGAAACATCACAATATCATAAAAATACCTAATTAAAAAAAACCCAATTAATGTGGTTTAAAATTATTTATGTATCATTTATGATGGATCTTCTTTTATGTAGTCTCTTGGGGAAGTAAATATACATGCATGCGGTACTCATACACCACTATAAAATTAATTAATTTTTACAATTTTTTTATAATTTCATATACTATTAATATTTTAATAAACCAACTATTAAATTTAACAATTTACTTACACTCATCATGCATGTAAAGTTTCAAGTCAATGTGATAGTCACTTCTTATGGGTTGAAAATATAAATGTAAAGCTAAATCTTAATTAGATTCCTACTACATAATAATTCTAGAATTTAGCCTTTTTTTAAAAAAAAAAATAATTCTAGAATTTAAGAGTAAATAAACGAGTAGAATTTTGTACCTGTAATTGCAATACAAAGAATCTGGATTCCTGGTAAGATATTAGCAATTGGAAAATTAAGTGTTAATAGATACTATATAGGAAAGTAAAGGCAAATCCAATAGTAATCAAATTATTAATGAACTCATAAAAGAAAGAATACGTTTATATGGTGCAATGAAATAATCTGGTTGAAACAAAGCCATGATGCTTGCAATATATATTTCCAACAGCCAGAACAATCTATAATTAATATTCAAGAAAGCACATCAAAAACGTTGAAGCTGTAATAAATACATTTCAAAAACTAAAATGCACCAATTATTTTGGAATACTAAAGAATCCTCACACGTTAACAATTGAGTCTCTCCTTGACATATCATCATACGAAGACCATGAGAGTTGGAATCCCTCCAACAGCTTTGTGTAAATATCAAAAGTAGAGAGGCCATTGATATTGGCAACCATGATTGGAACCTGCGCTTCAACTGTGCATGACTCATGGAAATCAGACTTTGCTGTATTTTCATCCAAAAAGTAATAGTAAGGAGGTCGAGAGGAAGTGGTATTGGTACAACGAAAAGCATCGATATAAACCCAAGAGTGGTTGATCTGGATCGGGCAATTTACGAGATACATGATGCTAGAGGTAGTTCGATAGATATATATATATATAGTGCAGCTATGTAGAAAGGGCAGGAACTATGAGGAATGGAGCAGTTATCCTTGTCAAGACTCACGTCTAACAGTTGAATGGTTTCGTTACTATAAGAGATGTGTTGGACATAGAAATTCCCATAGTTCATGGAGAAAATGGTGCGGTTATTCTCGCATACTAGTTCATAAGGATTGTAACCACAACTCCGAGGCCGACTTTTTAATTGAAAAGGGTAAGTGATGTTAATGTTTCCACAGAAAGAAGAGCCACAGTGCTTGTGTTTGCCTCTAGCGATGCATACATCAGGTAATAGAGATAAAGCAAGGGCCAGAAGGCCGAATAATGGAAGCTTTGCTCTTAGCATCCTAAAATTTCAGCGGAAGAGAAGGAGATTAAGGGCTTAATTAGTTTGTGAAGAAGCACTATGATGTTCTACCATATTTATTGTTAAAACCAAGTCTTCTTTTGAAAAGTCAGTCAACTAATTAAACCCAAACCGCAAAACACTTTTAACACAAAGCCTATCATAGTAATCATGGGTGATTTTCCACGCAAACAAACAAGAAAGAAGAAAATCTGTGTCCAACCAATTTATACATTACGGAACTGACAGAAAAGAAATCTTTCTAATTCATCCAAGCATGTCTGCGTAGTAGGGAGACTAATATAACCATGGAGCAGCTCAATAGGTTCAATGGCTTAAAGTGAAATATTCAAATGAGTCATTTCATGACTCTTAAGCTTAGCACTAGGCTTTCTCCATACTCTGATGTCAACATTAACTAGTTTACTTGTACTAGAGGCCAAACTAAACAATTTGCAACAAAAACAAAATACTCTATCTAAGTCTTTTGAATAAACTAACCATCTTTTTTCATGCATCTCCTCATTTGCTAACTTTTGAATATAATATAGAGTAAAAAAATATCTTGAAAATTCATCTTTAGGAAAATCTAAATCATTAACTTTATTGGGACCTTTTTCTACTAATAAATCTCTTAATTTATATCAATATTTGTCCATTGAGTTGGATCATAAATATTCTTAAGAATGCAATCATTTAAATCAAAAGGTTGATCCTCTTTATCATGAGTTCTATGATCATTTTGAATCTCTTCATTAGCTTCTTGCTCTAGTATTTCATCATTATCTAACTCTCTAAGATTATTAACTTGTTCATTTAAGGGAAATTTATTAATAATTTCTGATTCATTATTTTTATTGCACGTACAAAATTTATCAAGTACTCCTTTTTGAGATTGTATTAAACTCTCAATTCTTCTTTTTTTTTTAAACTTTGAATAACTAAATTTATATTTTCGATTTGACATATTCAAATATTTATTATGAGGTACAAAAATATTTAGCTATTATAATTATCTTATATTTTTTAAATGGCTAATATAAAATCAACAATCAAAATTTCTAATTCAAATAAATCAATTATCATATAAAACAGAGATAATATAACAATAGAGTATAAACTCTAAATTAAAGTAAAAGAGCTTGTAAAAATTAGAACAATAGTACCTAATTATTGAATGCTAATTGCAAACTGCAAATGAGGCTCACGGCTTTGTAAAGATAATAACATATCTGACTTATTGTGTATTCTTTGGAAAAAAATTGATGTTAAAGAAAGAAAGAACAAATGAGAAAAGAAGAATTCAAATGTAGATATTAAACATTGAAAAAAAAATAATTGGTTTTATATGTTGGAAAAAATATAACATTTGAAAATTATTAAATACTTTAATTGGAAATAGGAGAAATAAATGAGAAAAAAATAACTGTTGGAGATGATTAAATATATATGATGGTTAGTTGATTGGAAATAAGAGAATATAGTTGAGAATTAATAGCATTCTAGAAATTAAGAAGTGATAAAAAATTAAAATTTATTAAGCACATAATTAGAAAAATAAAAAAATAAATAATCTTATTAATTAATTTTTACTTTTATATATTTTAATATAATTAATTAGATTATAATTATTATTAAATTATAAAGCCTCTCAAATATGAGGTCTCGCTAAATTGGAGGCCTAAAGCCCTTGCTTGGGTGGCTTCACCCAAGGGCCGACCGTGATATAACCCCTTAATAAATAAATAAATATATATAATATAACTTAAAATAGTGTTATAAAATTTGGAATTTCAAAATTCCATTGCTAATTTATAAAATAATAGTTCTAAGTAAAATTGATCAATCTTCATATCTCTTATTTTTAATTTTTGTAAGATAAAATGTTTTTTTTTTGGGAATATTATGTAAAAAAAAGTTTAACAAGAAAGATTAAATAAGAGTTAGGATAATGTTACCTTCATTGCTTTGCTAAAAATTCCTGTGGCTGCAATTGAAATCAAATCTTCCTTTGAATAAGTGGAAATAACAAACTAAATTAACTTTTTATTTATTTATTTATTCTTTAGCTTGTGTTGTTAAAAATCCTTTTGCATACAACATTACGGATTTCACAGTTCTATACACTTTTGCTAATATGTTGGTCAAAAATATCACATGCATATATTAGTAAAGATTGCACATTTTCAACTACTGTTAAATATGAAAAAATTGCACAAAAAAGCCTAAATAACAATAAATTAATAGTTTTTCTGCACAAAACTAATTAGTTTTACATTTTTATAATTTCTTAAAAAAGTAATATTTTATTGTTAGATTTAGCATCTTGTACATATCATGTAATTTCAAAGTCAATTTGGTAAATTGTTTATTTTTTTCAATATATTTAATAATTGAAATTTTATTTTTATCAAATAAATAGTTAATCATTTTCAATTAATTTGAAATCTGTTATGCATGATTTATGTGAATATAATTTAAAATCAATGATTGGATTAACAAAATATAAATTGTATAAAAAAATATAAAAGAGTGTAAAATTATTTTAATTTTATATAGATATAAGTATATCTTTCCTTGTACTTTATATACATTTTCCCTGTGTATTAAAAAAATTATGCATGTCTAAAGTTCAAAGTTTTCTTTTAAAAAAAAATTCAATTGTTGCACAGACCAATATGAAATCAGTCAAGCTCTTGGATGACTATCTAAAATACTCTCAGTCTTGGTTTTTTTTTTCTTATTCATTTAAATTTGAAGACAAGTTACGATCAGTTGGACACGAAAAAGGAGACAAATATCTATTCAAATAATGCCCATAATCAATAGACATGCTACTACAATTATTTTTGTAACTTTCGCAATAATGTAATCAAATTAAATTCGTAATATTTTTTCATGTATATTGTATATAATATTTTAAAATAATTTTATTTTAATCTTTTTATCAAATTGTCCCATTAACAATGTAAAATACCGAAGAAACAAAAGAAGATGTAGAGGAACACCGATTGGTGGAATGAGAAGCATCAATGTAAACCGAAAGTTCATCTTCATCCTGCAATTTAAGAGATAGATAACCCTATATTGAGGTGCATGTATACAGATGATGAGGGAGATGTATACCATATCTTCTACCAAGTGGTAGGCTTTTTCCACGAGGGCCTGCAGCAAGGATAGGAACTATAAGGAATGGAGCAGTTATCCTTGTCAGGACTTACCTCTAAGACTAATATGGCTTTTTCCACGTAAAATTAAGTGAAGAAAATAACGTATGCAACTGATTGATAACGAAATTGATAGAAAAGGAATTTTTGTAATTCGTCTAAGTTGGGAGACTAGTATTAACCCCTAATAAAATATAAATAAAAAGCAATCCTATAAATATATTGTGTAGTGTTAAAATTTCACCGTCAACCTATTAAGTCTAAAAGAATTAATCAGTCCATGCATATAAAGTGACAAAGACTGAAGTTTTATAAAAGCTGTTAATTATATATGAAAAAGAATTGCACCCAAAAAGTTTAAACAACTAATACTATAGATACAAGCATACATCAAAATATAAATATAAGATGAATTGTGCCGTTATTATAAGAGATGTCTTGGGCAAGGAATTTCCCATATTCCATGGGGAAAGTGGTGCGGTTATTCTCGTCACACTCGATTTCAAGCTCATGGTTTCCGCACCGGAGAGGGTGGCTTTTTGATGGTAACATCTCCACAGGAAGAAGAGCCAGAGTCCTTGTTTTTGCCCCTAGCGATGCATGCATCGGGAAATAGAGATAAAGCAAAAGCCAAGAGGCAAAATAATGGAAGTTTTGCTCTTCGCATCCTAAAATTTCAGCGGCAGAGAAGGAGATTAACGGCTTAATTAGTTTGCGAAAAAGCACTGTGATGTTCTCTTATATTTATTATGAAAACCAAGTTTTCTTCTGACAAGTCAGTCAACTAATTAAACCCAACCCGCAAAACACTTTTAACTCAAACAAATAAGAAAGAAAAGAATGTGTCCAACCAATTGGTATGTAGCGAAAATGATAGGAAAGAAATCTTTATAATTCATCTAAGTATATCTGCACAGTAGGGAGATTAATATAACCCTTCAATTACATAATATATAATACGACTTAAATGATATTATAAATTTTGAAATTTCAAAATATATAATATAATAATTCTAAACAAAATCCATCAATTTTATATTTTACATTTATCTTTTGGTTAAGTATAAAACAGTATTTTTCTTGGAAGAGCTATGCCTATAATCATTAGACATGCTTCTACAATGATTTTGGTAAGTTCTGCAGTAATGTAATCAAATTAAATTTATAATCTTTTTTTCATGTATTTTACAGATAATATTTTAAAATGATTTCATTTTAATCTTTTTTATCAGATTTTACTGTTAACAGTAATAAAATATCACAGTAAAAATTATTTTAACATATCACGTGAATAATCCACACTTACATTTCCGTTAGTTGTTAACAATGAATAATTTGACAGAAGAACAAAATAATGTGGAGAGGAACATCGATTGGTGCAATGAGAAAGCATCAATGTAAACCGAAGAGTTCATCTTCATCCTACAATTTAAGAGATACATGACCCTATATTAAGGTGCATGTATACATATGATAAGGGAGATGCATACCATACCTCCTACCGAGTGGTAGGCTTATTTGATTAGAATTTTGGTTTATGTACAACATTAAGTAGTTGTATAGTTTTAAACTTCTTATTCCACATAAAGTCCTAATCACATTCTGCTTTAGACTTTTATACTATAAAAGTATATCTCTAGGCTTTAAAATTGCAAGTAGTGCTTTGAGAGTCTTAGAAAAAAGATACTTTGTAACTCTGTCTTTTGCTTTAGGTGGAGCTAGAGTGGTTTGGGTGAGTGTTCTTGGGAGGTTATTGAGAAA